TGCTGTGGTGGGAGCCTCTCCTGCCACCATGGCAGCACTACGGAGCAGCAGCGGAGGCAGGCGCAGTGGGAGGCAGGCGCAGTGGGTCGGGATGAGCGGGAGTGGCTCAGGCTCCCCCTGGCCGTCTGCCGCTTCATGCACTGCTACATCCCTCAGGGTATGCCGGACTGCCGGTTTGGCCCAGCTGAGGGGTCCCAGATTGCGAGAGGGCACAGGCCAGGCCGAGGGACCCCACTGGTGCATGAATCCGTGCACTAGACCTCTAGTAAACTATAACATCTTTTTACTTCTGAGACACGTATGCCACCATGGGTTTCAGGTAAGGGGCTATAGACCAGGTCTGGAGAATGCAAAGATTAAAGAGCAGAGGAGTTGGTTGAGGAAGGTTTAAGTTATACAGTCAGAGAAGCTGTGAGAAAAAAATGGTTTTCTTATTCTAGGCTTCAAAACACTACACCTGAAAATTTTAAACCAAACCTTTCAAACAACCACAAAAAACATATTTAGCATCTCTACAGCCTTACTTCCTTGTTTTGAAAGATCTGAGTTGCCAAACCATATTTAATAATATTAATTCTCCAAAGAGATAAGAGCATTACTATACCAATTTTGTATTTCATCCACAAAGTACAAACTTTCTGTTTTATAAGCCCACAGTCTTATACCAAAACAAATGTACAATTTCCATTAGACTCACTCAAATATAATCAGTCTTGATTATGTGGCTATGATCAACCACACTGCAGATTATCCATAGGGCATCCATGATAGATTAACCACGTGCCAGACATCACATAATCATTTATATACACAAAAGCCTATTGACCATTACCACCTGTCGACCGAACAACAGGTTGACCCTGTCACTATGATGTGCACAGACCTCCAGGCGGCAGACACTCAACGCTGGAGCTGCCCCCTGGTGGTCATTGCACTCCCACAGCAGGATCGCCACTCAGCTGACCAACGAGGCAGATGCTGGGCTTGTGGCTGGCAAGTGCAGCTGCAGTGGAACGAGCCTCTCCTGCCCCCATGGCAGCGCTACCTTGTGTCAGTGGAGGCAGGCGCCATGGGGCCAGGATGAGCGGGAGCTGCACCCAGCCCAGGAATGGGCTCCTCCTGGCCACCTGCCGCTTCATGCACTACTGCATCCCTCAGGGGATGTCAGATTGCCGGTTCCAAAACTGGCAGTCCAACATCCCCCAAGGGGTCCCGGATTGCGAGAGGTCACAGGCCAGGCTGAGGGACCCCACCGGTGAACGAATCCATGCATCGGGCCTCTAGTTTTACATATGCATGTTATACATATTATATGTATATATGTCTATATATGTATATATGTATGTATATATACACATATATTCTTACTTAATCCTCAAAAAAACTTTCTGAGATAGTTATTATTTATCTTCATTTTAAAAATAGAAAAGTGAAGTACTGTGAAGCTAAGGAACTGGCCAGCATGACAGTATAACAGACATCACAAAAATAGAGTATGAGCTTTGAGAAAACATTTACAACAGGACCTGGTGTTACATTGATTTCCTTCCCAAACTCACTGTTATCCCAGTTAATAGAGAATTAATGCTACTGTTATCAGCCCCACAGGTCCTTCCCACCCCCAATACTCTCCCTCCCCCTACCTTTTTCCCCTCCCCCAGCTAAACCCAGCCACAATCTCTCATTTCTCAAGTTCTAGCACACACACTGCCATTCTAGTGACTTCCCCATGTTAAGAGATGTCTTAGACAAAGCCTTCTATGGTCAAAGACAAAAAGGGGGTAGGAGACAGACCATATATTAATATGTTTATGAATTACAAATAATTCAACTTACAATATCATCCTTTATCCTGAGGTTGTCCTTTTTTTTGCAGTGTTAAAATATGATCCTGATGACCAATGCTTAGGTGTGTGTTTTTTTATTGTCCTTACTAGCAAAATAAAATGAGCAACCCTGTCAATCCCCCCAAAACTCTCTTAGGATTAACAAAAATAAAATGAATCTACCAAGTATTCATGAGAAGGTGGAGGACAGGCATAGGCAGGAAATAAAGGACTGAAAACCTGCAGGGTCAAAGGGAAGCAGATACTACTTGTACATTTAATAGTGACATACCAATTTAGAGACTGGTCCAGCAAACAAGTACAAACAAAATAATTCTTTGCAAATTTCATTATCTTGTTCAGTAAAACTCTCAAACACTGAAGAACTGATACTAGTTCTTCATTTCTAAATGGGGAAAAAATAAGGGAAACTTTGAAAAGGATGACAGTCTGAATGGGGAAAAAAGGAGACATATGTACTACTATTTGTAATACTTTAAACAATAAAATAAAATTTTTAAAATAATAAAAAAAGGATGACAAATTTGAATTTTAAAATGAAAGATTATAATTTTCAACAATAGGAACGAAGACATAAAAAAATACCATCAAATTATCTTCTAAAAGGCAACGTAGAGAAGATTGTTAAAAGCATGGACTCAAGAGTTAGCCGACCGACCGGAGTCCTAGCTGAGTGTCAGCTGTGCAAACCTGAGCATATGTTTCCTTAAAGCCGTGGTCGGCAAACTGCGGCTCACGAGCCACATGCGGCTCTTTGGCCCCTTGAGTGTGGCTCTTCCTAAGCCTTAGGCGTACCCTAATTAAGCTAATAACAATGTACCTACCTATATAGTTTAAGTTTAAAAAATTTGGCTCTCAAAAGAAATTTCAATCGTTGTACTGCTGATATTTGGCTCTGTTGACTAATGAGTTTGCCGACCACTGCAAAAAGGTTGTTGTGAGGATTACATGAGTTCAAGTAGCTACTAAGCGCTTAGAACAGTGCCTGGCACTCAGTAACTACTTCAAAAGTGCTGTCATAAATATTAGTTAATAACATAAAGAAACAATGGTAAAGTAAGAATTAATGACTATAAGATTTATGGTACTAAAGTTCTGATGTTACACTTCCATGAAGTTGTTTTAAAGTAAAACCATGTTTCTACACATAAAGTATTCGAGGTTATGAGTGACACAAACTTTTCATTTTACGCTTTTTAAGTACATCAGAAAAACATCTGAACCCAGGTAGGATACCCTCAACAGGTGGAGACCCGTCACTCTTTGCCAGTTGGCTTCCAAGGCTCAGGATGGCAATACCTACTCAACTGAGGCTGCTTTTGAATGAGAGAGAGGGCACACACTCAATACTCCCACCAATTAAAGAAACTTTCATCCCAGCAGTGCATTCAGAGGCTGATGTTGATAAAGCCCTACTACCTAGAGCTGAGCAATTCCTTCAGCTAGAAACACAGCAAGCTTCCATGGGAAATCCACAGACCAGGTGATAGAGGCGCCACTCAGCATGCACACCTGGTCCCTGCGCTCTTCCTGGTTGGGGGCAGCTCCCCCAGTTCTGACGCTACCCCGGCCCTGGGCCCCAGACCTGGCCTGCTCACTCTGCATAAGTGATCTCCCTATGAAAACCCTTCTCAGTTCACCCTATTTGCCCCTTCTCTCAAGTCACCTCTACACCAGGGTGAGTTATTAAAAGGCACTTGTCCACTGATACATCATTTTATTTCTTAGCACACAAGTTAATCACCTCCTTGCTACTCAAGGATGGTTCCTTGTCCAGCAGTACCTAAAAGCTTATAGGAAACGCAGAATATCAAGCTGAATCACAGATCTACTGACCCAGATTTGGCGCCTTCAAACAAGAATCCCAGGGGATTCCTATGCACATTAAAGTTTGAGAAGCACTGTTCCAAATGACTCTACTGTAAAAATTAAAAATGCTCAATTTCACATTTGAATTCAGAGACATATTATGAAAATAACCAAGATGCGGAATTAGGAAAGCTCATTATGAGAAATAACAAATACTTTAATTTCGTTACCACTGATACCAATAAGTATTCAAAGATTTGTACCATTTTCAACAACAATAATGCTTCCCGCTTGGAGTCATTATTTTGTGCAACGGCACAAAACCAATAATATATAGTTTTATTGAGACTCTATCCTATTGTCCAAAGAGTGCAAAAGTGACTGGGTCTAGAAATGTCAGCTCAACCGGCCGCAAACTGTGCACTCTGCATGCTAAAATTTCGGGATTCAGTCCTATTTAAAGTCGACAAATGAAACTTTTTCCAGAAAGCCATTCAGAAAAAAAAAAACTTTAAGGATGTAAACTTGAAAACATAGATCAGGTTCCTGGAACTAACACTGTTTAATCCTAGCATTGAAAAAGTCACGTGCAGACCCAAACATTGTTTTTACAGGTTTGTGTTCGTTTTTCCAGGAAAAGTCGGGGGTTGGGGGGGGGGGGGGGGGACAACTTTCACCCTCAGCAAAGTTTCTCGTATCCGGAAAGGCCTCAACGTGCATGTTCCTACAGGTGAGTACGCTGAAGTCACGCTACAACAAGGACACGGTTCTCCCCTCAAAGGTGAAAGGCTCCCGTTTCTGGTAAAGGCAGCGTTTTAAAGGGATTTTGGGGACTGCGGGCCGGTTTCGCTTCCGGCCTGCGAAGGAAGCGTGCAGCCCGGGGCAGAAAGGAGCCGGGACGTTTACCAAGTAGGAAGTGGCGCCCGACCGAGTCCAGCCACCATGCCTGCCCTCTCGCTGCAGCTGGCCTGGAAGCCTGCACCCCACTCTCCCCAGGGCGGGCAGCCTCCACGCCGGCCCGCCCGGGAGCTGGGGGAGCCTCCCCTCCGCACCCCCACCCCCAGCCGCTCCGGGAAGCGCACGAACGCGAGGCTGTACTAATACCCTCCCCCGCGCGACAGCGGCGGCGGCAGCACCCGCACCCGCACCCGCAGGCCGCCCCGGGAGGCGGAGGCAGCAGCAACAGCGAGGGGAGGGGAGGGAGGCGGGACTGGTCCTGAGACGCTCAGGGGGAACCCGGGCGGGAGCCTCTGCATGTGGGGGATGCTCTGGAGGAAGCCGGAGGCGCCCCGAGGGCTCAGCCTTTTTATGATCATCATCATCATCATCATCATTTTGCTTTACCTGTGGCGCAGAAGGGCTCCCCAGCTCCTACTCCCTGAATCCTCCTCCTCCCCTCCTCTTTCTCTCTCTCTCTCCCTCAGTCTCGGCCGGGCGCTCGCGGGACCGGCCGGCCCGACCAGAAAGAGAACAGGGCGGGAAGGGTGGCGGCGGCGACCAGCGGCCACGTGACCACGCTCGCGCCGTAACGGCGGCCGCTTCCTGCCGCGCGCCCTCCCCGCGCTCCACCTCTCATAACCCCGCGGCGCTCGCGGGTCCGCGGCGCTCGTGCGCAGGCGCCCGCCTGGGCCTGGAGACTGCGCGGGCGCGAGGCGCGCTCCCTCCCGGGGCCAAGTGTGTGGGGCCCCAGGAGGCTTGAGGTAGGGAGTGAACCAGCGGCGCAGCCTCGCCGAGCCGGCCGGCCGCGAGAGCGCATGCGCAGGAGGCTCTTTAAATGTTTTCCTCCCGTTCTCGCTACACGGGCACCACCACCAATCGCGCAGCTGGAGCCTGGGAACCTGCCACTGGGACTTAGCTACTCGCACTCACCACTCACCGCTGCCTTTCCCAGTGGCGACCGAGAGGAAGGGGAGATGTCAGCCCCTGGGACCCTCCCAGCCTAAGAATTTACATTTCCTTGCATACAAAATGGTCTTCCATTAGTTTTCTAGAGCTGAGTAGACTCCTATTCATACTTCAAGGCCCAGTTTATCTATCACTTCTTCCTCCGTGAGATGTACCCTACCCTGTTTGGGGAGAGTATTAGCATTTTGTGCTGACCTACTTTAATAGAACCCATAGAGAAGTTATATGTAACAGTTATTTTTTTTTACAAACCCGCAATCCTAGGCTCGGATTTTGTCTTTTCCACATACCCTAGGATAGTATGTGTCTTTAGCATTGTGGCCTGTCAGTAAAGGTGTATGACTGACTGACAGAATACAGGCAATGTCTAAACCCTGTCTTGTTGCCCTCCACTTACCCTTTCACCGAAGCAGAAGCACACGTGGAATGCTGGTGTTTGTTTCCCCAATAGGAAAGCCTTTGAAAGGCGGTGCTAATTAGAGTAGTAAATGCTTCAACTTGTAAAAAAGATTTATGATTTTTTATTACCTTACCTTCACCAAGAGCTCCAAAGGAAATTGATACTGTTGAGTCCAGCAAAGGGAAACCAAGGGAGAGAAACATCAAATTTCCAAAGGTTAGCTAGCTTCAGAGAGGGTCCCTGTACGGGAGACCTATCTTCACAAACACTCCCCTTCACCCAGGGATTCCCTTTCTTTCTGTTGCCCCACTTTGTTTAAAATATATTTTTTTTATTATTGATTTCAGAGAGGAAGGGAGAGGGAGAGAGAGATAGAAACATCAATGATGAGAGAGAATAATTGATCAGCTGCCTCCTGCACACCCCACACTGGGGATGGAGTCTGCAGCCCACCTGGGCACCTGGGAATCAAACCATGACCTCCTGGTTCATAGGTTGATGCTCAACCACTGAGCCACACCAGCCAGGCTCTGTTGCCCCTCTTTGATGTAGAACGTGGCGAGGCTAAATTAGTGCTTCTAGCCAGATTTAATCAGGACAAATAATTAAAATGTAAAAGCTGGAAGCTCTGGCTAGATAAGTCATCCTATATAATAAAAGAGAAATCCTATATAATAAAAGAGAAACATGTAAATTGGCTGTCCCTCCACTACGCTCACCAGCCAATCAGGAGTGGGTATGCAAATTAACCCGACAAAGATGGCGGGTTAATTTGCATACACAGGCACCAGGTGGAGAGCAGAGCAGGAGAGCTGGCGGAGAGTGGAGCAGCTTGGGGAACTTGGCTCCCCAAGCCTCCAGACAGAGAACAGAGAGGAAGAGCTGGTGGCTTGGAGGACTTGGCAGAGTGGGAGGCCGTGGGATGGAGACAGAGCAGGAAGGGAAAACCAAGAGCGCAAGGAGCACCAGGAATGCTGGGAATCGTAGTTCTGGTGGCAGACGGATCTCCTAGACACTAGAGCAGTGGTTCTCAACCATCCTAATGCCGCAACCCTTTAATACAGTTCCTCATGTTGTGGTGACCCCCAATTTCATTGTTACAAATTGAACATAATTAAAGCATAGTGATTAATCACAAAAACAATATGTAATTATATATGTGTTTTCCGATGTTCTTAGGCGACCCCTTTGAAAAGGTCGTTTGACCCCCAAAGGGGTCACAACCCACAGGTTGAGAACCGCTGCACTAGAGCAAAGTGAGCCTGAAGCAAGTTACTGTTGCGGTGGGGGATGGAGGGAAAGCAAAGGTGAGAGACATAAGTAAAATCAGAGTGTCTAGGAAAAATTAAAGGGAAGATATCCTAAAACTTTCAGGAAATCTCCACCAATGAAGCAAAGAAGAAAAATGCCTCTATTATTCTGTGAGCAACAAACCAAACTGGGTTGGGGGGTCTCAGACAATTCGCTCATATGATTGCAAAGACAGACAGAAACTCCCGAATTGGAGAGGGCTCCCCTGAGGGCTCCCAGATTGGAGAGGGTGCAGGTCAGGCTGAGGGACCCCCACACTCCCCCAGTGCACAAATGTCATGCACCGGGCCTCTAATCATTACTATAAAACTAGTGAATACTGGCATGATGTTCAAGAAACAGGACTAACAATAAAATCCCAGAAAATGTTGGGATAAATGTTGATCAATAAACAGTATTAGCAGAACTTCTGAAAAACTAGGAAAATCGTGTTGGGAAGGGAAAATTTTCTTTCTACCTTTCTAGGTTCTTGGGCTGGTCTAATAATCAAATTAATATAACAGATTAACAGGAGAAAAACAAATTTAATAACACATATATGGGGTCCCAAAAGAATGTGAAACCCAAGGGCAAGTTGGTCAGTTGAGGCTTATACAGTAAATCTTCACTTAATATTGTTGATAGGTTCTGTGACTTTAAGTGAAACAACATATAATAAAATCAATTTTAACCATAGGCTAATTGATATAATAAAGTTCCTAGGGCATTTCATCAACATTATAGCAAAATGACATTGAAAGAAATGACATTATTCGAGGACCTGCTGTATGCCATACCGAGCTAAGAAATGAGGTAGGGAACAGGGCTTAAAGGAGGGAAAGGGTAATTCATAGGAAAGTAAGAAGAGCAGATGTTTGTTAATTAAGTGTTTGTCCTGCCATACAGATAGGTTATCCAGATAAAAAGTTATGTCTGGTAATAGTTCTCTTTCTGGGACACCCGGTCTATCTACATTCTTTCAGTAATTTGGGGACAGGTAAAAGTTTTTCTTGAATCTTCTGGGCCTTGATTGCCTTCATATAGTCCACATTGCCAAAGTGACAAATTTTGGGGAGGCCTGTTCTGAACCCCTTCAGTCACAACCCTCAAAATTCTAATCTTATATGTCTGCAACATTGATAGACACTTTTCTGACCCCACCAAATAGTTTGTTACTACCTAGTTTATGCTAATAACTACCTATTCTAAATATCCAGTCCAAGGCTCAGACTCTGTGGGAGAATATTAATTTGGTGGTTCACAATGAACCATGCCTTCCCAGTATTCACTTCTTTGTGTAATCCTTTCCCCTTGTGTCTGGGCTGGACTTGTCACGTGCTTTAAACAATAAAATGTGGCAAAATGACTGTGCCAGTTCTAGGCCTTAAGAAGGCTTTGCAGTGACCACGTTGAACTTTATCAGAGCCCTAGTTATGGAAAACAGAAGTGACTAGGAAATCCCCCCATCTGTCTATGTTCTGGGAAATGGCTTACCACAAAAAATCACCCTTCCCCATGTGACTTAGATGAGATTCACTGTCCACTTTTTCTCATGAGACTAGAAGATGACTCCTTGCTTACCTGTGACAAAGCCCAACACAGACCTCTCCATTTTTTTCAAACTTGTTCACAAGCTCAGACAAAAATCCTTCTATTTCCTGGTCTTTGTCTCAAGAATGTTTAGCTGAGGTTAGAATTGTTTGTCCCCTTGAAATTAGCTAGACCCAGAGATAAATATTTCCTGACTGACCAAGACTTAAGACTTCTCCAGATTACAAACTAATCCCAACTGTGACTTGTCTACTCCTCCCTATGAAAGCATAAGGCACAACCACCTTCCCAAGGCATTCTGATCTTCATCTTCAAATCTGGGTATTCTCCCTATTTCAATAGCCAAAATAAAATCTATTCCGTTGCTTGTTTAGTTTTTCTGTTTGACAGCCACTTCTGTTTTTATCCTTTAGGGGAAGCATGATGTAAGCAAACCAACTACTCTGACACTAGCATGCTGTAAGAAGTCTAACCTGGCTGTCCAGAGAGGCTGCATGGAGGAAAATGGAGGTCCCTGGCTGATAGCCCAGCAGTGCTCCAGTTGGACACAGCACCAATCAGCCACACACGTGAGTGAGGCCATTTTAGAAGTGGATTCTCCAGCCCCAATCAAGTTGACACCACATGGAGCATAAACAAGCTGTTCTCCACCAAGCCCAAATTGCAGAATTGTGGGCAAATTTGTGGTTCTGTGAAGCCACTTAGTTTGATGGTGGTTTGTTAGTAGCAATAAATAACCCGAATAGAATTATATATCCAGCTCTCTGCTAGAGATGTGTCCCAAGTGGTCCCACTGGCACCTCAAAGTCAACCTGCTCAAATTGAGCTTTTCAAATTCCCTCCAAATCTGCCCGTTTTCCTGTGCCCCTACTGCCACTGGTAGTGCATTGTCTTCCCCTCCATTCTGAGCCCCAAGCAGATAACCTGAGAGCTTTCCTTGACTCTTCCTTATCCTGCAACATTCAGGCACCAAGTAATGGGGTTCCTTCTCCAGCCCCACCAACATCTCACCTCTGATCCTCATCATCTCTCCTGAAGTACTGAGGATTAGTCAATTTCTTCAGCGTTGCAAGAAAGATTGCCATCTGCCCCCAGATTACCTTAGACTTCGGGGTCAGGGGGAGGGGGATGACCAGCCAGTGGATCCTTTAAGGCCCATGAAATCTTTGGTCTGTCCCTGCCAAGGCATTAGGGCTGAGTTAATTAAATGTTTGACCAAATATAGCAGGCTAATTTTTTTAAAAATATATTTTATTGATTTTTTACAGAGAGGAAGGGAGAGAGATAGAGAGTTAGAAACATCAATGAGAGAGAAACATCGATCAGCTGCCTCCTGCACACCTCCCACTGGGGATGTGCCCTTGAC